AACAGTGTTTTTCAGAAAGCTACTATGTCAGAAATGACTTATACACTGAAGCCTTTTCCATTCCAGGGCCTATGATTTTAAGGCTGTTTAATCCTATCCTTTGAAAGCCAAGTTCTTTTAGTTGTCTTGCATGGTCCCTAGTGTCACTTTTAGAGGACTCTTTAAGGAGTTACTTGTGGAATGGCAAAACCCAGCTTGTGTGGTGACTGCCCACCTCCCACCATTTGATTTGTACAGTCTCCAACACAGCCCGCTCTAGGCAGATGTTAGAGGACATAGGTAGGAAACTAATATCAGCACTGCATTTGTAACATACACAATATTTTCCCTGAGGAGTGGAGGGAAAAAAAATAAAACACACCACCACTACGTTAGGAGACTCGGGAGGAAACAAAACAAAATGCACCAAATTTGACATTGGCCATATGGCCTACTGGCAAGTTTTTAGAAGGTGCAAGTTCACATCTCCTTTTTGAACAGATTTTCATCTCGCATGAAGGCTTTATGGGAATACTGTTGATTTGCACAGTCAGCATTTTTCCGAGTCTGGGAAAAACTTGTTACTGAGAAGCGGCACAGGCTGAGTCAGAGGCAGGACATGGAATGACTTTGCAGAGCAACCTCTGCACTGCTGGGAAGACAGATGCCGAATAGAGGTTTCTGGGTACAAGGAGAAAGGAAAGAGGGCATTTTGCACTGACCAGGACAACATTTTACAGCTCATCTGGAGACAACTGAGATGGAAACTCTCAACACTGGAGCCCCAGGTATACCTCTGAACTGTTCACATCCCTCTGGCTCATGAGGCTACAGTTCTTCAAACAGAAGGTGCCTTTACCTGTTTTGCCACCTGTGTCTCCAACTTGTTGATCAGAACTTCCTTTCCTTGCATTGTGCCCATCAGCTCCTGGTACTTCCTGTACAGATTGCTCTCCGATTCACTGGTCTTCATGTTAGCTAGTTTCATCTTCTCTTCCATAGCTCTGATCTGTAAGGATAGGGAGATCAAAATCCAGAGGGAGATCAAAATCCAAGCAATGCAAAAGGAAGGAGCTGCTTGTTTAGTACAAGACCTTGACTGACTGAGTTCCAAGTTTTTTGTTAGAGAAAGAAGAGTCATACTTCTCATTTTCATATATGTGAAAATAGGATTATAATATTCATATATCAATAATAGCATTCACTTTCAATGCTGAGACAGTAAAGGATGCAAACTGAACTGTGAACTGATAAGCACATTAGACTGTGAAATACTCACCCATTATTGGTAAAGGAGACAACACAAGCATACCAGTATATAAAGATATATGGGAAAGGTCTGACATTTTCCTCCTTTGCAATACCTCGGCCAGCTTTTTACTGCATATACTATCAGGATGCACACCACAAAAGCTACTTGTTTCAGGTCAGGACTACTACAGGGCAATGTATTAAAGACTTCATTCCTCTTAAAATCCCCAGCTTTAACAATGGCTTGGCAGCTTCTGGCTTTCTGACAAGCATTATCTCTAGTCCTGCTAAAAAGTTATGAAAAATATCCTGAAAGCTTCGTCCATCTTTGAGATTCTGCCAGTGCCAACAGCAGTTCATCTGAACAGAAGAAGCACCATCCTAGTTCACTCACTAAAAAATAAGGTTTCAGTACTATAAAATCTAGCTGTTCATAAAGCCTTTCAGGTTCTGAAAAATACCTCACTTTCTCCCAGATCTGTGTCCCAATATCCCAGTTTCTCTGCTTTATCGTTACCTCATCCTACTGCATCTGGTTATAAGGGCTTCTCTAAAGGCGAATATACAGCTCAACTCAAACCCACTAATTGAAACTCCTGATGATGGACAAATACCTGGTTCCAGCACATCCCAGGGGACTGAATCTGCAAAGAACGGAGCCCAATTCCAGATGCCATCAACCTGGCACGAGTTAGGAGGCGGAAGGCAGAGCACAGGCACTGACCTGCACCTAGCCTGCGTGACAGAGCTGCTCATGCTCTGCTGGGCAGCCTACACCTCCTGCTTACAGCACTGCGTTTTGTCCTCCTGTCTGCCTGCATTAGACAGGCAAATTGCCTCTTCCTCACACTCAGTCAGAAAGGAGGCACCCAGCATTCAAGCCAGAAGTCTAAGCCTGCTGAGTCGGATGTGTTTTCATTAGAGTTTAGGGTGATTATAGTAAAAAGAAATGGCCCCTCCTTTCTGTCTGATGCCCAAAGCCTGGAGGCTCACAGTGGGGACTGCAAACATGTGATTTCTTTAATTGAGGTTGGCAGCTGCAGGGAACCTATTGCATTAGCAATCCAAGCCTCAGGCTCCTGGAGTGAAAGATAACAAGGGATTTTATATTCAAAGTGGAGCCCTTTTCATTTGACAGTTGTTTCTCGTTCATGCTGAATAAACCTGTTTATTGAAGGAGATGGCCCAGCTCCTCATGCTGTCACTTCTTCAGGCTGCCAGACAGAACAGAAGCATTTCTTTAGGAACACTTTTCTCTGGATGTGGATTAGCGTGCAGGTAAGGCAGGGATGCTGCAGCTTTAGGGGTTGATCTCTCTAGAACTTGCCAAAAACACAGCTGCAGAATTGCTGGTGGCAGACGAGTGCACGGAACCTTCCAAATAATGCTCATTTCTGTCAGGGAATCCATCCCACATCTTCCCAGCCAAGTTCCTTGTTATCCATGATTTGACTTGCTCTCCTTGTGCTCCTTGGTGTCACTGTACCCTTCTGTGTCATATTCTGCTCCTACCATTAAAATGTCAACTAGTATAATACCTCCTTCCTTGGCCTGTGGTGAAAACCATATTCCCTGTTGTTTGTGTGGGGACTTAATGACACCACTCAGGTACAGTTCTTGCTCTTGGTGGCAATTGCTGATCTAATGCAAAGGTCGGCAGCAACTATATAACATTTCTGCTATTGTTGAGTTGATCAGGAAAAAAAATAAGTAAATCACATTTTTAATACCAAATTGATGAAGCCTCGAAATGGCCCATTCAACACAGGTCTCACCAGGCTTTTCAAGCCTCTGATTACCAATATGTTTCCTGGTGTTTTTACTACAGGTTATTTCATCCTTCATCACTGAAGTCCTCTATTATAGTCGTTCTTTGACATCCTGCTAGTGGATGTTGGTCCACTTTTAAAGCTGCCCTTTGGCAGTGGTTTACAAGGATGACAAGATCTCACACTGCCTGGCACTTCCTTATCCTTTGCTTTCATAATACCCCTTACTGGGGGAACTGGGCTTTCTTCAAGCCCAGTAATCTCTTTGGCCTCTTCACAAGAGGAAGTCTCTCTCCCTCCCCTCCTCTCTCCCCATATTACTTAAGGAACACCAAAAAGTAGATGGCTATAGCAACAAGCAATGAATGAGAAAAGAAGCTCTTAATGCTTCTCTTCACAGACTCCTGAGCTAGAACAGTAATTACTGAATAGCAAGTCCAAAGCTACTGGTGGGTTTTGTAGACACGCCGTACCTGTTTTGCAAAACCTCTCCTACTTGTTGGCAAGTCCTTTCCAGTATTTTCTTGTTTTCTGAGGTCTCAACAGGCAGCTCTCTCTGCACTTTAATCCTGATGCACAACATCCTCTTCCTTCTTCATAAGCAGCTGTGCCACCACTCCATAGTTTATTTGCTTCCCTCATGAATGGGGGGAAAAGGGCTCCTTATAAAGCAGTGAGGCAGATAACATGTGCTGGTTTTTACTTAGGGTTAAACCTGTTCAGGAACCTGCTCATAGCTCAGGCTCAAAGGCTGGGACATATGACCAGGAAAATCACTTCATGACTATACACCAATGTTTCCCTACCAGGACACAACACTGCAGAGTGCTGTTTGTAGACTAGAACAGAGGGAGTTTAGGATAAGCTCCTGCTGCGTTTGTCATCAGAGCATGACAGAATTTCTTACCTGTTTCTCTGCATCTTCAGCTCTTTGCTCTGCCTCTATCACTCTCTGTTCCAATTCCTGCATCTTTAGAGACAGAAGAAAAATGAAAAAGAGAGTGGGGTAGGACAGACAGAGAAAAAAAAAAACAACAAAACAAACATTACTTTGCCTTTCATTTATTTCACTCAGGAGTTTTTCATTCTCTTGTGCAGGACTACAGATCTTTGGCCTTTTTGTAAAGTGTGCATTAACCAGACAGCTTTGACCAAGAAAAAAACCTTTACATCTTCTACTCTTTTCTTCTGTCCCAGTTTGAATGTGCCAGAACTGTTTCCTCATTAGCGAGCGTCGTCATTCATTACAAGGGTCAAGGGAATATCCCCAGTCTCGACCTCTCTTTGCAATTTGCCCATTGTGGACTGTCCCTGCAAGGAATCTATCTACAGTTCTCCATTCTCCCCGGGTTCATTCCAGCCAGGATTCATTCACGACAGTTAACACATCCAAATACACTTTGGCAAGCTTGTCTTTTGGCCATGAAGTAGCACATTAGTTTGTGTTGGCTTTAAAAGCATGATAGGCTCATAACTGACAGGGGAACAATGATCTTACTTTTCCTGTGCTGCTTCTCATTTTAAAGAGCTTTTGCAAACTGCCAGTTCGGCAATCCTTAATCTAGCCATTGTCTCTATTGAAGTCAAAGGACAACTAAACAGAATTTGATTCATAATGTACAAAATCTCTTCATTCAGGCATATTTGGGGTGAAACAAAGTTAACATTTCATAACATGAAACAGAATTATACTACTGGGAGAGATAAAACAGTCACCTTTATCTGGGTTCAACCGGTTTGCATTCTTTACTTTCACGCCTCTTCTACTGAAATGTAGATTTTGTGATTAAATCCTGTTAATAATAGACAAATAAAGAGCAGACCTCATCTCCCCTCCTCTAACAGGTGTACCTCTAAAGCTTTTTTTTGATGGTGACTTAGGAGTTTTATTCAGCACTTGCAAGATTTTCTTCCAGCACCTGGCCTACTTTGATGGGTCTCACATTTTAGCCCAACGACGACAATTCAGTGGGACTAAATTTCAACGACTGATCTGCACAATTTAAAGGATGCTTCACAGTTTTCAGAACTTCCTAGTATTTTACTGATGAAGGAATTATACAGAAGCAGTCTTAGAAGATTAAAGGAATTGAACTCAGTTCCCCTCAAAATTTTCTCAGCACAAAGTACTTTTTCTCTAACGCACTTCACACTTCTGAATATATCATTAGAGCTAAGTATTGAAGCTGGGCACTTGAGGACCAAGCCAATACTTCTGAAAATGGGGCTTATTCACCTAGGGTTGATACCCTGAACGCAGATGTCAGCATTCCAGTGTTTCCATTCCCTGTACTTTAGCTGGCAACAAGACCCTTTTTCACAAGCACACTGCGATCGTAGGAGCAGGCTGACGTCTTTGGACAAGCGTATCACAAGGACACACACATGCAGAAAAATTAACCATCATATAACTAAAATATTTACCATGCCATAACAAATATAGGCCGTGAAGATCAGCAAGTACCATATTCACTGCAATACCTCTCTCGGATTGTTTCCCCCCGCCCTCCAGGAGACAGGTCAAGGACACCAAACTCCATAGAGCTTAAACTCCAAACCATCAAGGACATTCCTTTGGCAGGGAAACAAGAGACACTGGAGAAGATTGCCCAGCCTGCCAAAGCCCTGGCTAATGTGACCAAAGTCTGAACACCTATGGCAGAGACCAAGCCCAAGGCAATCTGATACTGACAGCAGCCATCTAGGTTGTGACGTGAGTCTGTGTCCTTTAGGAACAGAGATCTAGCCACGTCTGTCCTGGTTAACAGCCGGATAGTGCTCACCACAAACAGGTGGCAGTCAGATCTGCTGGTAAAAGAAAGATACTAGCTGGAGACATAATACATGTTGGGAAAAAAAGAGCCAGCCTATTTCTGACAGTTTTGGAGTCAACAGTATCTGCTACTTTTCTGATACAACAGAGGCTACATGCACAGCATGGATTTTAAACAAACCTCCAGGCTTTTTCCCCCAAGGCTAGAAACTCATGCTGATAATTTGATTCTCCACAAGGTGGGAAATCTCCTTGAAAGCCTCAACTTATTAAGAAGACAGCACTGTTCTCTGATCAGGACAGAAGATGTATGTCACGACCATTCCTGCTCCCTAAAGAGTTACGGAAGCCTCTTGTGCAAGCAGGGTGACCTGGCTAAACTCCAAGCAAATCCATCACACTCTGCCACTCCAATTCCCCCGTAGCCCCAGATGAACTCTCACTTTCCTTACTTCCTGTACTACACTGTGGGGTTGTCCTACCATGAACTGTTAAATAACTGCTGTGTTTCTCCTATACACAACATGATGACCTCACCATCGCTGGTGTCAGCTGCCTTGCTGGGGCACACTCGGATTCAACAGGCCGTGTTTGTAAGGCTCACTCAAATCCCTCAATGAATTAATAATAACGCTTGGCATTTACATCAGTCCTTTCATTCAAAATGCTTTATAATTTGCTAAATGTTACTAAGGAACTTGACCTGGGTCACATAAGCTTCTCTCCCAAACATTTGCCTAGGCACCCTACATGAAGAGAGTAACAAGTCCAATTATACAGACATTATTGCATGAGACAAAAATAGTTCTGTTCACCAGGAACATGCAAAACAAAGCAGAGTGAAAAACCTTCATGCCTGTTCATGCTGACCCATAACCTTGCTCTGAGCACCTTGTCCGGTACGAGTGAACATTTGGGAACCAGGCTATCAAAAGGAAAGTTCACACTGTGTGAACTGGGGCATTGGTACTTAAACTGCTGGGCTTAAAATTCCTCATGTTCTGAAAAGCAATCTAGATTATTGAATCTAAGCGGATTTTTAAAATCTTAAGTATTTGAAGTGTTAGTGTGCATTGCACTGCCAATATCAACCACAAGCAGTTCTTTTTTTCTCTTTAATTAAAATAACATATCCCTAAAACTAAAAAGAGAAAAGGTTATAAAAAAAGAGCAAATTAAAGCAAAGATCAGGTTTCCAAGCCTTCCACTCAGTAGCTTCCACACTGCTAGATGGGTATAGCTCCCCAGCTACACTAGCAAGTTTCACACCACTGGTAAGTGGTTCTTTGCTTTGTCTGGAAAAGGCACTTTCAACCCCTTTTTCTTTTTTAATTTCCTGTTGCTGTGATGTATATCTAGAAAGTCTCAGGGCAATGTTCACCACAGGTTGACAACACAGCTTCAGACTGAGCCCACTTCCTATTTTTCAAGGTTTTCCCCTCAAGGCTCTTTAAAAGAAGTGCGTGCAACACTATTTCAAAAGAAGTCTGAATCTCTTAATTCTCACGGATGGGTCCATGATAAAAAAAGAATAAACCACAATTGCTTTATAATATATAATAAAATCACCAAAGTTGGCATCACTGCATGTAGAGCATGTACCTTCCTCCTCCTCCATTTTCTTCACATTTTATCACTGCCCAACTATTGACTGGGGGGAGGCTAGAGCGTGGCCAGGAGCCCTGTTTGCTGGGGCTGCTGCAAAGCCCCACAGCTTGGGGTGGGAAGGAGGCTCTCTGAGCAGGTCCTTGCAGAGGCCCTGGACACTTGAGGTGCAGGAGACTCCCTGGTAGCAGCTTCCAGAGTGAGCAGCGCTTGCTGGGCCTTGCATGGTGCCCTGAGAGCCTGCCCAGAGTGCACCATCTCACCCGAGCCCTCTCCTCTTCCTTCTATTAAGGTCAGGGTCACAAACGTGCTAGCTCTTCGATCCTTCGACTCAGCATGTTGCACATGCAAGTAGTTACAGAGTAACCTGATCACGGACCCACACTGCTCTCTGATCCCAAAGAGGGATCACCTTGATTGAAGGGCTGAGTTACCTGCGCTCGGGTCCCCTGCAGCAGATGACAATTTCCTTCTCTGCCATGGCCCATGAGGTGCCTTAAAGGGAGGATCCAACAGGTCCTGCTTTTTGGAGAGCAGCCTCTCCAGAGAACAGGTGAGTTTTGGTTTTGTGGGTTAGCGAGAAAGTTTCTCACAATAAGAGTTAATAAAACAAATGACTACAGCTGCTCCAATGCAGCAAATGTAGAGTACTGCTTATCTCAGTTGTCCTTACAAGGCGCATACTATGTCTATAACTGATTCTGGTTCCTTTATGTAATTGGACTTTTCAACCATTCTTAACATTCTCCAGGCTGAGTAAGCACTGAAGTCCATCCCAGAAGCTGCTGTGGATAGACAAGGGTGTGCTCAGAACTGCATCATTTGTTTGACTAATACGAGAGGTGGATGTGCCATACGTAGCGTTGGCAGAAACACAATTACATTGAAAGCAAGGATGAAAATTGCTCCACTCCCTGAAAGAAGTGTCAAAAAAGAAAATCCAAAATCAACAAACAAGAACATATACATAAACGTTTCACAATACAAAAACGGAACAAAAGTGGAACAGAACTTTTCTGTCATCAGGCACAACTTAAGAACACTTGGAGTCAACTGCAGTGTACTGCAGAGATTTCAGCTTCATTAGCAAATTGTGACTGAAAGAAGCTGTCCTCACCTTCCAATAGTAACTGAATGGCTAAACAACCTTAAACAGTACTGGAATATCGGAAGCTACATTTCAGAACAAACAAGAAACTCCTAAGTAAGTGACAAACTTGGATTAAATGCAGATAAGAACTTAGTGAAAAGGCACTAACTCAAACTGAAGAATAATCCATTTTAACAAACATGGTAAAAACAAAATTCCACCCCATATAGGAAATCAAACACCATACAAAGCCTACACCAAAACCTCAAGTTTTTTCATTCTCCCCCTGTAGGGCATCAACAGAATTCATCTCGCGCTCTAGTCCTCATCTGGACGGACAGATGTTCAGATTTCCTAAAGCAGCTCAGTCTTCTCACCAGTATCCCCAGAATGTCTGACTGGGTAAGCAGTACTATTTTAAAGTTACAGCATTATTTGTACTCTATCTACCTTTTAAACATTACAGCATAATTTGCACCCCTGAAAGCTTCTCTACTGCCAGCCCAGTTCAGACCCCATTATTCTTATTTAAAGCATCCATCCTTGCTCCATATTTCCCTCAGTCACTTAAGACATCCGAAAGTTTTGTTTTCCAATGCAGTCTGAATAACTGGTGATTTTCCAGTAAAAGACCTAACACTTCTTTTTACCACTTTGCACCGCTCCGGTGGACAGAACTCTGTATCTCAAGCATGGAACAGAATGCAATGATACACTGAGAAAGAGATCCCTGCACGAGCCAGCAGTTTTACTGAAGAGAGGAATGTTTAGGGCTTTTGCCTTCACCCTGTAGTGCAGGAGCAGGCACGGCCTCACCTTCTCAGCCAACAGCTCCCGGATCTTGCCTGCCTGCAGACGGAACTTGAAGAGCTGGGACTCCAATGCAAGGCACCGTTTTTGCCAGTCCATACAGCTGCCATCCTCCAGGGTGAGATCAGCCATTTCAAAGTTAATTCATCCACCTGAGACGTCTTCTGAAATACTCTCGAAATCCTAGGGGGAAAAAGGGGAAAATTTAGTATTAAAAGACTGGCAAACTTTTCATCTTTTGTGCCCACAGCCTCGCCCTGTTCAGTCTGTGGAACTGGGAACACCTTTCCTTTTGCAAGTAGATGAGTCAAAAGAAAGGTACTATCCCAAGTTACTTTTATTGCCCTCTGACGGAGGTGACTAGTCTCACTGGTGTCCTAGATAAAAAGGATCATATGACGACTTGCAGAGTGGCACTGGTGCCAAGTCAGGCCCATAAGCTGACCTTGCCAATGGACAGGGAATGGGTGATTATATGAATTGAAAAGTGCTTGGCCACCTGGCTCCCTTAGCATACTGAGGGAATGGCTGGCTCCAGGTGATGATCCCCAGGGGACAGCGACATCCTTCACTGAAACAGCTCCGTTTGGAAGGAGATGCTCCTCTAGAATGGGTAGCACTGGTGTCGTGCACCTGCAGCCTGTCCCCAGCTGCCATGCTACAGTTGGGGGAGAAATTTCTGTGGAATTGGTTCCTAACAGGCAAATCCAGAAAGGTTTTGAATGGCAGGAACAGCAAGTTAACAGGGTCACTGTATTAGCAGCCAAGGATGTTATGGATAAGCATACTCAAGCATTTAAACATATGAAAGTGAACAGTTAATGGATAACAGATAAATATTCAAATAAACTTTTACCTTTAGAGTCTGAGTAAATAATTTACTAATGCATCACACACACTATATTCCACAAACAACCTTTCTGCCATCTTTACAGCCCTTCTCAGCCTCCATCAATAGACTAGAAATATTTTTACTCCTGCCTCCTTCGTGCTTATATGGCCACAAACTCAAAAAAAAAAA